AGGCAATGAAGGTGACCCAAGGGCTGGAGCAGCTCTGCTCTGGAGCCAGGCTGGGAGAGTTGGGGTGTTCAGCCTGGAGAAGAGAAGGCTCCAGGGAGACCTGAGAGCAGCTTCCAGTGCCTGAAGGGGCTCCAGGAAAGCTGGGGAGGGGCTTGGGACAAGGGCAGGGAGGGATGGATGAGGGGGAAGGGTTTCAGACTGAGAGAGGGGAGATTGAGATGAGATCTTAGGAAGAAATTCTTTGCTGTGAGGGTGGTAAGACCCTGGCCCAGGTTGCCCAGGGAAGCTGTGGCTGCCCCATCCCTGGAAGTTTTCAAGGGCAGGTTGGATGGGGCTTGGAACAACCTGGGCTGGTGGGAGGTGTCCCTGCCCATGCAGGGGGTTGTAACTGGATGGTCTTGGAGGTCCCTTCCAACAGCTTTCTGGGGCTGAAAGGAGCAGAGCTGCTGGGGAGGGCTGTGCACCGTGGCCTCCTTTGGGTCATTCCTGGCCTGAGCCTCTCCTCACCATGAGGGTGCCTCTCTGGGGCAGGGAAGCTGCTTTGCCTGCTCCCTGGTGGCCCAGGGGAGCAGGAGGGCTGAGCCACAGTGAGTCCTTGCTCCCCAGGAAGATGAGGGAGGTGATGCAGAGTGAGCCCAGAGCACCTGTCTTGCACACTCTGCATCTGAGATGTTCCTCTGCTCCCCAGCAGCTGGGGGTGCTGTTGGCAGCAAATGGCATGCACCCAAGAGGGGGAAACCAAGAAGAACTTAGTATTGGGAAGACCCTTAAATGTTCTTTCAATTCAGCAGCTCTGCATGGTGCTTCGTGTCCCCAGCCCCGGGGGATGCTGGTGTCTGCACCCTGTGGGCAGTGGGTGGTGGTTTGGGGCTCAGCACCGGTCTTGGAGGAGGATGCTGAGCCCTGGTGACTTAGTGTCTGCTGATGACCTCAAGGTTTGGTGTGGTGGCCACTTGGTGGTCCTGCTGCCATCACCCTGACATGCAGGACTACTCTTTGCCTCCTGCAGCCCAGCAGCACAGGGTGATGAGATGTTGCATTTCCAAGCCCCATCCCTTGGCTGTGCTGGAGGCCTGAGAGGGCTCCAGCCAGAGGGCTTCAGAGGAGCTCCCGTTGGTTTAGTTGCCAGAGTCTTGGTCTTGGTGTGAGCAGCTCAGAAGTTCTACAAATGTTTGTTTTGCTCCAGATCTCCCCGTTAACAACATTTCTCAGGAAATATGCAAAATTATCAACTCCAGGCAGAAGATGTTCAGTAAGGCTCATTAAGCCAAGTACTGTCATCAGTTGGGTCTTGCAGAAAATTCTGTCTGTTAGCAAAAAGGAAGAGAGGGAGCCCAAGTGGAAGGTCTGAGAAGACAGAATGTGCAGCAGTGTCCTGGCTCTGGGTGGCTGGAGGGTGACCTGAAGGTCCTTGGACTGTGGTGTCTGCAGGACTGTCCTTGGAAGGAGATGCGTGGGGAGGGGAAGGCAAGAGGAGAAGGGTGGTGTGGGAAGCAGGAGCAGATGCTGTGATGCTGTGTCAGGACCAGACCAGGCACAAAGCCAACAGAACCGTCTTTAGTTAGAAAAAGTACAAACCAAGGCACCTCTGGAAGCAGAAGGAACAGGAGGTTTTGCTGAGCTGGGGGCAGGGGGAGGTGCCACAGGCTGCCTGGCAGGGCAGGGTCTGAAGGGAGGGCACTGCTTTGCCCCACAGATGGGTGAGCAGCTGATGGCCCTTAGCAGAGGTGGTGTGGCACGAGCTCACGGGATGGTGACCTTCAGACATCAGCCAGCCCCAACCCCCTGCATGGGCAGGGACACCTCCCACCAGACCAGGCTGCTCCAAGCCCCATCCAGCCTGGCCTCCAACACTGCCAGGGATGGGGCAGCCACAGCTTCCCTGGGCAGCCCGGGCCAGGGTCTCCCCACCCTCAGTGTAAAACATTTCTCCCTGTGTCCAACCCAACCCCACCCTGGTTCAGTTTAAACCCTTGTCCCTTGTCCTGTCACTGCAGGCCCTGCTCAAAAGTCTCTTCCTCTTTCCTTCAAGCACTGATTGGCCTCAGGAAGGTCTCCTGGAGCCTTCCCTTCTCCAGCCTGCACAGCCCCAACTCCCTCAGCCTGTCCATAGCAGAGGTGTCCCAGCCCTGGGACCTTTTTGGTGGCCTCCTCTGAACCTGCTCCCCCAGGGCCATATCTGTCTTATGCTGACTATGGAGAGGTTGCCCTGTGGGACCTCAGCCATTGAATTATGGGATGGTTTGCATTGGAAAGACCCTTGAAAGATCATTTAGTCCAACCCCATTGCCATGGGCAGGGACATCATCCTCTAGATCAGCTCCTGGCTGGGTTGTAAAATTCCAAACCTTCTGCCCCAATTAATTTGTGTTCATTTCTTGCTAGACCGTTGTTCTCCTTTTGGAGGAGGTTCCTCCTCCCTGCTCTCTGCTTTGGTGTCCACCTCTGCAGTCACCTCCAGGCACAGGGGACAAACCTGGGCCATGTGGTGTCAGAATCTGCTGCCAGATGGGGCTGAGCTTCTTGTCATTGGTGTGGGACCTCGGTGTCTAGTGGGTACTTGCAGACCCAGGTTTCTTTTTGTGGGAACTAACTCAAGAAGAATTAAAATTAAAATGATCTCAGAGTTTTCTGGAGCTCCTGGCCAGCTGGGGCAGTCCTTCTGCTGTCATCTCTGCTGCAGATCTTACAGTAGGAAGTCTGCCTTTTTATCTGCTGTTGCTTTCATATCTGCTATCAAGTCTTGTTGGGTTTGTGATGCATGAAATGACTGTTTGGGTTTTGCAGAAGACATTTGCCTTCTGAGAGGGTTGGGGTCTCACCTGGGTTGTTCTGAGGTTCCTTTGTATGGTCTAGGCAAGAGCACCAAAGAAGTGTTGTTCCCGTGTTTGAGCATTTGTGGCCATTTGAGCAACCTGGTCTTGTGAGGAGCGTCCCTGCCTGTGATGGAGGGCTTGGCTTGGAGGGTCTTTGAAGGTCCCTTTCAAACCAACCCATTCTGTGAGTGTCTGTGGGCAGTGCAGCCTGATTTGAAGGAGAACCATTGTATGGAGTGCCTTGATTTTCATGTTTTGATCCTCTCCTGGTTACATGGAAGTGGGAGCTGTGGTGCTGCCTGTGCCACCTCCTCTGCCTGAGCCTTTCCTTCTCTTTTCCCCAGCAGCTTCCCAGTACAGACCTCATGGTCACTGGTGGGCATCACTAGGGCTTGGTGTCAATCAGAGGACATTTGGTAGACACCAAAGCACCGAGGTGATCCTGGCAGAACCCTCTCCAATACATGATGAGGAGAGGAGAGACAAGTGCTGTGGCTGCAGGTGTTTCTGCTGCCCTTGTGAAGCTCTGGTGTGCACAGGAGCTGTAACAGCAGTGGAGTCACCATCAGAAGGACATGAAATTAATGTCAGGTGGATTAAGTCTGTAGTTGGTTTTGTTTAGATTTGTAAAGGATTGACTGTAAAGTATTGATGCCTCTCCAGTGCTCCCCATAGTGCTGTCCATGTCCTGGAGCTACAGGAGGTGGTCCATGATCTCAGCTCCTTGCTCCCTGCAGGACTGGTGGCACCTCTGCTGTTTGCTCTTAGAAGTTAAGTGGAATTTTACAGGCCTGCTCCTAAAACTGAGCTGGGGAGTTGAGCGTGGCTCTGGTGGGAGGGTTTGGGCTTCGTGCCAAGGGCCAGGAATGTAATTCTGCAGCCATGAAAGCCAACACCTAAGGACAAAACTCCTGGAAATCTTGTTCTCCCTCACGCTGCTGGTGCTGGAAATTGGAAACGTGCACTGACTCATGCAGACATTGCTGAATTCTGAAGGCATTTGTGCCTTGTGAACTTGGGTTCCTCCAAAAGTTGTTAGTGGGAAGTATGGGCTGGTTTTGGTAAATGTTGGGATTCAGTGTAGCTGAGATGAGGCCTGGGTGCTATAAAATACCCAGCTCATGGTGCTGCACAGCTGAGCTATGGATCCAGCCTGCAAATGATGCCCAGACTGAGGCTGGAGGTAATTAAGATGTCACCTCATGTGGTTCAGCTCTCCAGGGCTCTCTCCTGGGAGCAGACCCTCCAGCTTTCCTCATCCCTGTCCTCCACACCCCCTCCCTGAAAGCCCTCTGGAGCAGGACTTCTGCCTCTGCACTACTGAGGAAAAACTTGCTTTGGCTGCTGCAAAACACTAAAGCAAACCTGAAGGTGAATGCAGCCTCCCAGGGTGGTGGGTTGGTGGGCAAGAGACCTGTGAGCGCTTTGGATCTTGTTCAGGTGAAGCTTCAGTAGCTGGTGAGCATCCCAGAGCTGGGCTGGGGTGTTCCCAGGGATCTGGAAACTTTAACCTGTGTCCTGAAGGCTTGGTAAGATGTCTGAGGGGAGCTCTGGGTGCAGCTTCTGCTCAGCTGTTCTGGCCTTGTCTTTCTCAGCGATGTGCGGAGCAGCACCCTGGGCTGGTGGCCTTGGACATGGGACACAAGGTGGCCAGTTTTGGAGCCCCACGAGCCACTCCATGCCCAGCCATCACCCCCTGCTGCCCAGGGAGCACCTCCTGGCTGAGCAGCCTTGTGGTGTGTGTCCCACAGGGCTCTTCTGTTTGGATGTGGGAAGGGTGGGAAGGGCTCTTGTGCAGAGAAAGTCAAGCCCAGGTGGCTGAGGTTCCTCAGGCTGGGCAGATCAGTGGGGAGGTGTCCAATGCTTTAAAAAAATAGACCCCACCAGATTCAGCCTGGTGAGCAGCATCCTGCACCTCTGGGGGATGGAGCCTTTTGCTTCGTGTAACGGGTCCCTAAAGGGAAAGGAGCAGCTGTTGTGGCCTTTTCCTTTCCTTGTGCTTTTTGTGAAGCCTTCCTTGTCTCTGGTGGGGCTGGGAGCCTGGGAGCAGGGCTGGGGCTGCCTCCCTCCCTGCCTCCTTCCCTGCCTCCCTCCCTGCATTTGCTCTCAGGACTTTCCCAGAAAGGGGCTTTGGGGGGCTTTGGGGGGCTCAGCAGGGCCCCAGGGCTGCAGAGGTGCCCAGCGATGGCCCAGCCCTGGCTCTGCTGCCTGTGGGGGCTCCTCAGCTGCATCTGGACACGGTGGAATCCTCCTGCAGCGCTGGCAGGAGGGCAGGAGCTCAGGTCTGTGTGCAGCCGCTGCTGAGACCCCAGAGACCTCGTCCCACCCTGCCTGCTGCCTCTGGCTTGGGAGGAGAGCAGACTTCCCATCTCCTGGCTTGGTTTGTGCTCCTCTGCCATATCCCAGGAACTGCCTGAGCAGTGAGTGGGGCTGGTGTGAAGCAGAGGGGTGTTGATGTGCTCCATAGTGAGGTTCTTGCTGCTGTGCTCATTGCAAAACCCACAGAGCTGGGATGTGCAGGGGGCTCTGGACCAGCTCCATCCAGTGCTCCACTTTGCTAGGGAGGGCATCACAGCTTGTTCCTGCCTCCTCTCGGGGTTTTGGCCCTTGTGGAGGGGCACGTTTAACCCTGTGAGGCCCCAAAAGGTGCTGGGGAAGCTCTGGCTGAAGGCACCAGGGAGGCAGTGGCTCCCAGAGCCATCCCTGCTGCTGCTGCCCGACCTCTGGTGGGCTGGACTTGGGCAGCACCAGCAGGTGGTTTGACCTGGACCAGATCTTTCCACGTGCCTTTGAAAACCTGGGGTGCTCACAGAAGGGTTCTGTGAAGCCCCAGCATGCTCAGCTGAGTGGTGGATGGTTGAGGTTTCCTCGGGTGAGGTGTTTGGGTGGTGTTCCTGCTCCAGCAGCAGGGTCTGGGCAGGCTCTTCACGCCGAGGCTGCGCGTGTCTGCAGGGCTGGACCCAGCCCTGGGGTGGAGGGAGATGCCGAGGGCAGATGATCCTTCAGTGCCCATACCCCCAGGAGCTGGGCCTGCCGGGTGCTCTGTCCTCTCCCCCAGGTCCCTGTGAGCCCTGCAGCTGCTGCTGCCTCCCCGGGAGGTGTCACGGTGGCGGGGCCGGGCCAGGGAGCTGGAGGTGGCGTGGAGGAGATTTCCAAGGACAGATGGTGCTCTTCTCCAGCCTGGAATGACACGTGCTATCCCCAGCAGCAGGCTCCATCCTTGTCATTTCCTTTTTTGCTGGGCTCCTGCTGCTCTTCCTGCAGGCAGCAGGGCCGGGTCTGCTCTAAATAACCATCTCCTGCCCGTCCATCCCTCGCTGCTGCTGCACGGGAACTGGAGGTGCCTCCAGGGAGGCGGCGTCTGGCTTGGGCAGGAACCTTCTCCTGGGGCAGTGGGTTGTGTTCCTCTGGGATTTCTGGGTCCAACACGTGGTAGGATCCCATGGCTCTTCACGCCGAGGCTGCTCGTGTCTGCAGGGATGGACCCAGCCCTGGGGTGGAGGGAGATGCCGAGGGCAGATGATCCTTCAGTGCCCATACCCCCAGGAGCTGGGCCTGCCGGGTGCTCTGTCCTCTCCCCCAGGTCCCTGTGAGCCCTGCAGCTGCTGCTGCCTCCCCGGGAGGTGTCACGGTGGGGGGGCCGGGCCAGGGAGCTGGAGGTGGCGGGGCCGGGCCAGGGAGCTGGAGGTGGCGTGGAGGAGATTTCCAAGGACAGATGGTGCTCTTCTCCAGCCTGGAATGACACGTGCTATCCCCAGCAGCAGGCTCCATCCTTGTCATTTCCTTTTTTGCTGGGCTCCTGCTGCTCTTCCTGCAGGCAGCAGGGCCGGGTCTGCTCTAAATAACCATCTCCTGCCCGTCCATCCCTCGCTGCTGCTGCACGGGAACTGGAGGTGCCTCCAGGGAGGCGGCGTCTGGCTTGGGCAGGAACCTTCTCCTGGGGCAGTGGGTTGTGTTCCTCTGGGATTTCTGGGTCCAACACGTGGTAGGATCCCATGGGCAGCAGGGATGGGACCAAGCAGGCCTGTGGCATCCTGTGTGCTGCGAGCCAGGAGTGCTTTGTGGGGGGAAGGGGTGGGCAAGAGGGGAGGAGGAGATGGGCATCTTGGTGAGCATCATGTCTTTCTTCTGCCACCAAGGCTGTCTGGCCTGTGAGGTCAAGGTAAAAGCCTGTGTTATGCCAGGGAATGTTTTCCTCCCCAGCTTCAGAAAGGGGCTAAACATTGATGGAGATTAAGATCTGGTGGGAAGGAGGATGCTGTGAGCTGGGGGTGCGTGTATCTGGGGCAGCATTTGTGTTGGTTGCTGCATCTTCCATCAATTGTGACGTGTCCCCAAGATCCATTGATGTTAAGTATTTCTGAGATCCTTGGGATGGGGGTGTAGGTGGGAGGTGACCACTTGTGCCCTTTGGGATAACACTGGCACATGGTGGGGAGAAACTGAGCCTGATTGCTGTGCTGGAAGTATGTTCCTCAGTCTGTGCAGACTGGTTTGTGTTGAAAGGGACCTTAGAGATCATCTAGCTCCAACCCCCTGCATGGGCAGGGACACCTCCCACCAGCCCAGGCTGCTCCAAGCCCCATCCAACCTGCCCTTCAACACTGCCAGGGATGGGGCAGCCACAGCTTCCCTGGGCAACCTGGGCCAGGGTCTCGCCAGCCTCACAGCAAAGAATTTCTTCCTAAGATCTCATCTCAATCTCTCCTCTTTCAGTCTGAAACCCTTCCCCCTCATCCATCCCTCCCTGCCCTTGTCCCAAGCCCCTCCCCAGCTTTCCTGGAGCCCCTTCAGGCACTGGAAGCTGCTCTCAGGTCTCCCTGGAGCCTTCTCTTCTCCAGGCTGAACACCCCAACTCTCCCAGCCTGGCTCCAGAGCAGAGCTGCTCCAGCCCTGGGATCATCTCTGTGGCCTCCTCTGGACTCTCTCCAACAGCTCCGTGTCCTTCCTGTGCTGGGGACCCCAGAGCTGTTCCCAGCCCTGCAGGGGGTCTCAGCAGAGCAGAGCAGAGGGGAAAAGCCCCTCCCAGGCCCTGCTGGTCACTCTGCTGCTGACACAGCCCAGAACAGGGTTGGTTTCTGGGCTCCAGTGCACAGTGTTGTCTTATGTTGAGCTTCTCATCACAGAACACCCCAAGTCCTCCTCAGGGCTGTTTTCAATCCAGCCTGGATTTGTGCCTGGGATTGCCCCAGCCTCTCTACAGGACCTTGCACTTGGCCTTTGGATCATCTTCATGGCCCTCTCTGGAGTTGCTGTGACAGCTCCATGTCCTTCTTGTGTTGGGGACCCCAGAACTGCCATAGGCTATGTGAAGAGCCCTGTCTGGGGTCTGCAAGCAGACCCAGAGTGATGCCTCCACCAGCTCCGTGATGCCTGGAGCAGTGCAGGTGCTTCCCCAGCATCTACAGCACATGGGCAGGAGGGCTCCACCATCCAGGAGATGAGAATCAGCTAGGAAGGAGGTACACGTGGATGGGTGGGTGCTGGGTGAGCGTAGGTACCACCCATGTTTGCATTTCAGGTTCTGTGCCCCCAGAAGTCCCACTTTGTGCCGTGCCTGCATCAAACTGCTTCCATGAAGACAGGAGGTACCCAGAGCCCACCAGATGGGCTGTTGTAACACCCTGAACCCTGCAAGGCCCTGCACGGGGGTTGGGGCATCCCAGGCACAGTTACAGGCTGGGTGGAGAATGGATCAAGAGCAGCCCTGAGGAGAAGGACTTTGGGGAGTTGTGTGATGAGAAGCTCAGCATGAGCCAGCCCTGTGCTGGGGGAGCAGGGTGTGATCACGGGCTGGGTGGGTGATGCAGCAGCTGTGGAGCTGGGGCTCCAGGTGACAGCCTTTCATTTGCTACAGCAGGTTTGAGTGAGGCTGGTGCAGTGGTGGTGGGGGACATCACAGGGTCACAGAATGTTGGGGGCTGGAAGGGACCTCCAAAGATCATCGAGTCCAACCCTCCTGCTAGAGCAGGACCAAAACCAGGGCAGGTCACTCAGAAAGGCATCCAGACAGGTCTGGAAAGTCTCGAGAGACGGACACTCCACAGCCTCTCGGGGCAGCCTGTCCCAGGGCTCTGTCACCCTCACAGGAAAGAAGTTCTTCCTCATGTTGAGATGGAACTTCCTGGGCTCCAGTTTGAATCCATTGCCCCTCGTCCTGTCCCAGGGCACAAGTGACAAGAGCTTGTCCTGCCTTCTTGCTGCCCTCATGTATTGATAGACATTCATTAGATCCCCCCTCAGTCTTCTCTCCAGACTGAACAGCCCCAGGTCTCTCAGGCTTTCCTCCTCAGGCAGGTGTTCCAGTCCCTTCATCATCCCTGTAGCCTCCCTTGGACTCTCTCCAGTAGATCCCAGTCCCTCTTGAACTGGGGAGCCCAGAACTGGACACATCACTCCAGGTGTGGTATCACCAGGGCTGACTAGAGGGGGATGAGAACCTCCCTCGACCTGCTGGCCACACTCCTGATGCACCCCAAGATCCCATTGGCCTTCTTGGCCACAAGGCACATTGTTGTCCCATGGATAACTTGTTGTCTACCAGGACTCCAAGGTCCTTCTCCACGGAGCTGCTCTCTAGCAGATCAACCTCCTGGCCTGAACTGGTGCATGTTGTTGTTCCGTCTCTCCAGCCTGGTGACATCGGGGTGCAGATGTAACAGAGCTCGTGGCCAAATCCTGCCGCTGTGTTGGGTGCTGTGAGCCCTGGCCAAGCTCTGCTCTCAGCCCCGGCCGTGCTCTGATTCCCAGTGCTGTGGGAGCAGTGTGGGCAGCAGGACAGGCCCCTGTGGGCCTGGGGCCAGGGCAGACTGCTCCATTTTGAAAAGCATAAAGCTTCTGAGAAGAAGCTGAGTCCTGCCTGATGCCAAGGGCTCCTCATGTCTGGTCAGGCTCAGGCCCTTCTGAGTGGGGCACCAGCCCCACTCCTGGCCATGCAGCCCCCTCCTTGGTGTGTTTTAGCAACACTGGGAAGAGATCCAGGTCCAAGCAGAGAAAGCTCTAGGTGCTCCTCCTCAGGTCCATCAGAACCTAAACACCCTGAGCCTGTTGCTGGCTGGTGGGTCCTGCCATGCCCCAGCCTGGCTGTGCTGGCAGCTCCTGCTGAGCCCGTGGTGGGAGGGCCTGGCTGTGGCCCAGATGGACAGTCCTCAGCTCCTGGCTTCAGGGAACGTCTCTTTGTGCCCACAGAGTGGTGGGTCAGGTGCAGCATCCTGTGCTTTTCTCTGCCGAGGTGAGGTTTGCACTCAGGTCTCCAGGTCTTTGGATCAGGCTTTTGTGAAGTGGTTACCAAAGCAAAGGGTGCAGTGAGGGGTGCAAAGGCTCAAAGCTGAGGTCTCCTCTGGGTGACACCACCCAGATCAGTCACCCTAGGTCAAAAAGACAATATGAAGGGAAGAACAGGTACCTCACCTGACTTATTTAAGGGTAAGAGACATCTCTCTGGAGCCTGTGTTGACTGGCTCTGCAATGTGCAAAGGGGCCATTGTTTGGTGGGTGAACATCTGCAAGATGTGGGACAACTGTAGGATGAGCAGAAACAGCCCTGCCCCTGAAAGCTTTTCCAATCCGTTGGCTCCTTTCTGGTGAAGATGGGATACGATGAAACTTCTCTGCCCCATTAATTTTCCATTTCCCTCCATCATGTGCCTGCTTTGGATAATAATCCTCTAAATGTCTCCTTATCCAGAGGACTGTCATTTCTCTTTCCCCTGTGATCCAGTGTCCTCTGCCTTGCTGGGAGGAGGTGTTTGAGCTCTGATGACACACACTGGTGCAGACAAGGACAACCCCTTAGCTGCCTGCTGTGGCTTTTACTAGTTCTCTTGTATTTTCTGTTCTCTCCCATTTTTCCTGCATTCTGCAACATCCTTCCTGCTTTCCTCTAGCAGGAACCCTTCTGCTTTCCCCCCTGCAACATCCCTTCTGCTTTCCCATCTCAGCATCCCTCCTGCTTTCCCATCTCAGCATCTCTTCTGCTTTCCCATCTCAGCATCTCTCCTGCTTTCCCCTTGCAGCATCCCTCATGCTTTCCCCCTGCAACATCCCTCCTGCTTTCCCACCTCAGCATCTCTCCTGCTTTCCCATCTCAGCATCCCTCATGCTTTCCCCTCGCCATGTCCCCTGTGTTTTCCCAGCCCTGCTCTCAGCTTTAGCTCAGATTTCCCTGCTCCAGGTTCTCTATGTGCACAGCAGGACCATTACTCCTGCTCTATGCTTGCTGTGGGACCCCCAGGGAGCAGGTGGCCGTGGGGGGTTGTGTGTCCTGCCTTCACAGCTGGGGCTGCCCGTCCTCTTCTGGCTTGGTGTCCTCACAGTGCTCTGGTGTGGCAGTGCCCGGAGTGCCCTGTGCTCCAGCTGCCTTTTGCCCCAGCTCCTAGGAACAAGTGACCAAAGGAGAAGGGGTAGATTCCCCTAAGAAGCTCCTGAGATGGAGCTGCAAGCTTTGCAGGAAGCACTTGTTGATGTCTCTCTCTGTGTCATTGCAGGCGAAGGACAGTGATGATGATGATGAAGTCACTGTCAGCGTGGACAGGGACCGCTTCATGGACGAGTTCTTTGAGCAGGTGAGAGGTTGGTTTGCTCAGTGCAGCTTTAAAGCCAGTTCAGAACTTTCTGTTAGTGCTGGGGAGGCTACGGGGCAGTGGTCAGGGTGGGGATGGGGTCCAGCCCTGGCTGATGCTTCTCAGCTCCTGCTTGGTGTCCCTGAGGCCCATAGAATCATTAAGGTTGGAAGGAACCTTAGAGATCATCAAGTTCCAACCCCTCTGCCATGATCAGGGAACCCTACCACTAGACCAGGCTGCACAAAACCAGAGCTCAGAGCTCTCTTAAGCAGGAACTGAGTGTCCTCAGAGACCTGGGGCTGCCGTGGGCTCACCTGGCCCTATGGATGCTCCACCTCCTCCTCCAGAAACCAGTGGGGCAGCTGGGCCAGTGACCAGCTGTGGGCAGAGGGTGAACCTGGTGCTCTCCAGCCTCTCCTGAAAGCACCTCTGTGGAGTAGCAGGTTCTACATGGGAACCATTGAATTTTGTTCCCTTCATTCCAAACAAGAGGTTGGCTGCTGGTGTGTGGGTGGCTGGAAGATCTGCATGCGGATTTTTAGCACCCCCTCAGCATGGTCTGTGTGTAGGGGGTGTTAAAATGTCTCTATGCAGGCAGCAGAGTGGGGAATGAAACAAGCCTGACATGCAGGTGGATGGAGATGAGCAAAGGGGTGGTGTGAGTCAAAGGAGAAGACACAGCCATGGGGTGAGCAGCCCAGCAGGCAGAGCTTCCCACTCCCAGCAGTGCTGGAGGGTCTCCTTGTGGTGCAGGGAAGATGCCAGTGGGGATTTGCTGACAAATTTGTCCTCCCTGGTGTGTGGGGTGAGGGTCAAACTGGGCTTCTCAGCTCCTGGAGCAAAGTGCCATGGGAGACTGTGCTGGGATGGAGCCCCTGGCTTGTGCAGCCTCAGCAATGTTCTCCCTGCTGGAGGTGCAGGGGCTGGAGATCCATAGATCTGATGCTCAGTTGAATCAGCCCCAAATGTTCCTGCAAGTTCCCAGATAATAATAGAATATATTAATATAATAATATATTTTATTAAAAATAGGGTATATTGAGATAAGATCCTAGGAAGAAATTCTTTGCTGTGAGGATGGTGAGACCCTGGCCCAGGTTGCCCAGGGAAGCTGTGGCTGGCCCATCCCTGGCAGTGTTGAAGGGCAGGTTGGATGGGGCTTGGAGCAGCCTGGGCTGGTGGGAGGTGTCCCTGCCCATGCAGGGGTGGGACTG